CTTAGTCCAAATCTGAAAACATTTCATATTTATAGTCCAGACAATATTTTCCTATCCTGCCAAGGAACAGGCACAAGGCAGGATATACCCTGGATGGGATGTCAGTCCATTTCAGGGCACACATACTCTAGACACCAGGTTCAGAAGCCAATCAACCTACTGTACCACAGTCTTTGGACTGTGAGGGAACCAGACTGACATGCAAACAGGGGCGTACACACAAACTCCACACAAATAGCACCCCAGGAATTGAACCCCGGGCGCCAACTCCTCAAGGCTGCAATGATAACCACTGTCCCACCCTGCTACTTAACAATTACAGTTACTGAATGAATTTTAAAAAATGTGGTAAACAGAATTATATGTTAAAATCGACTGTACAGTAATTTCCGTTTTCGGGAAATAATCCAGACTCTTAAAAAAGCGTTGATTACGAAATAGTACATTCTCGTGTACTTTACTGTACAGTATGTGATAATCACGCGGTAGCACACATGCAATAATTATCTAGAATGATCATTAATTGACTTTCAGTTTCAGTTTTTTTCCAGTTTTACGGTGGAATCGACTGCGTTCCATATATATTTTTTTGTATTCACATTAGGTAAAAATGGCAACATTTCGTTATAACTAAACCCCGTGCGAAAATAAGTCCGTGCATACTCTGCGTGTCACGAACACGAACCCCACAGTTCCTGCTGAGCTACCTGTAGTACAGTATGTACTGTAGGTGCTGTGTTGTGCACAATGTCATAGGCTGTTTATACACTCAAACGATCATTGCTGTCATAACTACCGTATGTACTATCGAATAATGTACTCATAATAATGAATAATGTACTCATAATCTCATAATAGCGACATAAGTGTCGTTTAATTACACGAGATAACACATGAAAATATTTTCTTCCTTGATGGCAGCAACACGCTTCCTTAAACGATCGATGATTTCTGCTAAATTTAAAAATTAGAAACGTGATTCCTTCACAGGCGATTACTAGTGACTTTTCAAGATAAATTTCAGATAGGTTTAATTTGAATTTTGCAATAAATGGGAAACGTGTTTACATTAATCCATGAATGAATCTGTTATTCTTGCAGATTATAAAATTCGAATGTATTGATTTATTGCATTTTATAGCATGTTTTTATAAAACCGGATAAACAATTACAATGAAAATAAACATTGTGTACTCCGCGTGTATGTTAATTACTAAAGGAACATGAGCGGGGCTTATGAATCAAATGAAAAAAAAAACGCCTCCAAAGCTTCACTCTCAGTTTCAGCCTGTTTGAAGCCTAAAACGAAACTTAAGCTACTTGTTCCATGCAAGTCAACTCGTCAGTCACATTTTTGTTGATCAGTTAGTCAAAAGGGAGTGTTTTCTGATAATTGCCAATTGAAGAGACCCTTTCCGTCTTAACTGCTGGAGCTTCAACAGTTTCCAAAGTCTCTCCGCTAGACGCAAGAAGTGTCTGGTAAGAATACGAAAGTGCTTGAACTGTGATTTTAAATAATCCTTGCTGTTTTAGTAACCGCTTGTTTTTGCGGAACTGAAACTTCGAATTATTAGTGTGTGAACGGCGGCATGGTAGTTCTACTTGTATGTAATAGTTCAGGTGGGGAGCTGCGTCAGCATGCGTAGGCTGCAAAGGAACAAGTAATAGGTTTATTCCATGCTGAAAAAAAAGAAGAAAAAACACAACGTTTCGGCCTCTGTATTAACAGCCCCTGTAACTGTTAATAGAATTGATATTCAAACAGTAAATGATGCCCTAAATATCTAGACACTACTATCGATTGTAAATTGTTTTGGACAGCTAATATGGAGGCAAGGTATTTAGGCAAGGGGCAACAAAGGTTGAATTTTTAAAGGAAGTTAACGAGTTTTAGTGTAGAAAGCACAAGGCTGACACTTCTTTTATAAGAGTTTTATTCAGAGCATTCTAACGTTTTGTAATCAGAGCTGGGGAGGTGCCTTGTCCTTGTTTATACCTAATAACATTCAATTGCTGAACCATGAAAACATTGTTTGCCGGTAGGGATCTTGTTATTGCTGTTGTGTTAAAACGCTTTACAAGCTAATTGTCTTTTTTTAATCTTATAGTGCCAGAAGATGTCTGATCTGAGTAACGTTGCTTGAATGTTGTTTTGTGTCGGCGTATTGTACTGTTGTTGTCTTGTATTGTGTTATATGTTTATGAGCTCTTGATGTAGAAGACGAATTACTTTAATGGCACTAAAGGTTCATTCATACAAAGCAGGAGCCCATTATGATCTCATTCCTTCTGTTGACATTTATCTCCAAACTTCTCTTTGAATTCACAGAAGGCCTGTGCCAGGGGTCCTATGGTTGATTCTTTTAAAAAGATGCTTAGAGGTGGCAAAGTCTGTTTCTGTATATTCGAAAGGAAAGGAAACGTTTTGACTCACAATATCATCGGTGCGCAATGTGGTTCTGAGTGTCTCCACATTTATTGTGCATGGGTGGGGTATTTTGGCAATACTCCCTTTTGACAGAGATCCAACTAATTTTCTTAGGAAAATATGTTTTTTTTATAACTTTTTTTGTATGTGACGGCTGCTTCAGTAAGTACACCTTTCAAACACGCATGTACTGCATAAATGCTTCCTAATTGTTGGGCATTAAGGTATAGATTAATGCAGCTGTCCAGACTGTAATGTATTCACCGCCCACTGACATGCGTAGAGGAGTGCTAACTGAGCATTGTGATGCAGCCCTGTTGTGCACTCTGCATACACACCTGTTGCAAGTTTATGCATTCTTGATACATTCCATACACATCTCAACTATATGTGTTCTTTCAGGTTCCATCCACCTATTTTCTAATCAACTTATTCAGTACAGGGTCGCTGGGGCAGTTGGAGCCTAACCCGGCACACAATGTGCACAAGGCAGGATACACCTTGGATGGGATGCCAGTCCATTACAGGGCACACACAGACACAAACGCACTCACACCAGGGCCAGTTTTCCTAGAAGCAAGTTAACCTACAAATATGCCTTTGGGCTTTGGAGGGGAAACTGGAGCACTCAGAGGACGCCCACATGAACATGGGGAGAACATGCAAACTCCACACAGACAGCACCCCGCGAATTGAACCCAGGGCCCCAGGATTGCAAGACAGTAATGCCCAACACTGCACCACTGTGCCACCCTTTTTCTTCTTTTAGATTTAGTTTCTTAGGGAAGGGTAGGCAACTACTCTAAAGTAGTGGCAGGAAGAGATTCTGCAAGGGAAACATAGTAACTTCAAACTTTGCTTTTTAGCTCGTAGCCCAAACATAATTCACTTATGACTGTGCAACCCTAATAAACATTTTTACCATATTTCCTGTTTATTAGCTCCATTATGAAAATCTGCACTCATCACATAATGTAAAGTATTCTGCGTGCCTTTATGAGAAACCATTTGTAGGTTCAGTTTACATGGAATAGGTAATAGGCAATGATTGTAGCAGAATCAGCACTAGAGGAAGGTGCACTTATACTATGACTAGTAGCAAAAACTTTGTCTGAGACAAAAGTTTTTCTCAAACTAATTGCTACACCACAGCTAATTTACCTAATCACAGTAATCAAATGCAAATCACAGTGCAATATGTACTGTATACACAATATTGTAGGACAAAATATAAATTATTTCTATAATATCCTACAGAGGGAAAAAAAAACACACCTGAGAAAGCTTGCCTGACCACAAATATTTTTTTTCTTGTTTTCAGTTTGGAATTAACATGTACTTTCTCCTTTGCAGCTACAGTACCATTCAAATGACACTATTTTTGTCTTCCAGCCTCTTTGACTTGGCAGCATGAATTCTTCAAAGTTTGAGATGCCAGTCCTCGGACGTCCGTTCCAACTGGGAATGCTGTACGACTCCTACAAGGACGCTCCTATTCAAGGTAACACAAAGATGGCAAAAGCAATCCAGAAATATTTCTGAGGTTACTGAGAAGACCAGGGCATTAAAACCAATGTTTCAGCAAAGAATACCTTCATCACAGTACAGAAAACTTCTGAGCATGTACATACCTGTATTTGAATTATGTATAATCTATGTATAATTGCTTGGTTGAAATATTTCTGAAATAATCGCTCACTGTTAGGATTCTAAAAGTGTCAGCAATAATTAACTGAAATAAAAACGGACTAGCAAACATTATGAAAAAGGTGTTTTTTCATTAAAGTTTTTATTGAGCTAATGTAAAAGAGATACAAATGGTATGTTCTCTACAGTAGATTCCTTAGGATTTATTTCAGATTACACTCTTCTTGTGGTGTCAAATATGTCAAATATTATACTGTATATAAACTTTTTTTATGTCTTTACTGAGAATGGGAGGGAAAACCGACCTCAGCTCCTGGCATTGGAATTCTGTTGTTTTTTATAAAGCATACTTTTCACAATCGTTAGAATTTATTTAATTTTATTTAATGGTATTTTTTTGGCCATTACAGGTACCTATTTTTGGGATAAAGATTCATTAGAGAAAAATTCACAGATGCAGCCCCTGAACACCACAGAGTACAATGTCATTGAGTCTGATTCCATTCAAGGGAAGGTCTCTGCACTGACATTAGGATCTCAGCTTAAGGCGAGCCTTCTGAGTGGATTGACTGAGACTCGAGGGGCTGCCAATTATTTTCACGACCGACGGAAATCTCAAAAACAAACTCGGTTTACTCTACAGTACCGTGCCACAAGTAGATTACTGCAGCTGCCTCTCCATGAACTGGTAGCCGGCGCTGTGTCTCACCCCAGTGACATTGAGAAACACACAGCTACCCATGTGGTCACTGCCTTGCAGTACGGTGCCGAGGCCTATTTCGTGTTTGATCTGGATACTTCGGAGAATGAGAACGAGCGGGATACCATGCACTCCCTGCTCACGAAGATACCCTATCTTTCAATGGAACAGGATGCCTTGACCAAACTGACACCAGATGAAGAAGCCATAGCTTCGAAGTGCAGCTGCACCCTTTTTGGCGATTTCTGCTGTCCACGCAAATTGCTTGGTTTCCAAGATGTGATCGACACCTTCAGGAATCTTCCGAAAGCTCTGGGCCCAAGTGGAGAGCATGCCTTGCCAGTGAAGGCCTGGTTGTGTCCTTTATCAGAGCTTGAGCCTAAGGCTGCCCGACTGGTGCAGAACATCCCTGTTGACTTTATTGAACAGTATCAAGATGTTTTAGAAGAGTTTAACACCATTGAAATGAGATCCGATGACCTGATAAAAGACCCGGTTGCCAGACGGTTCCCCGAGATGCAGAAGAAGGCAGAGCAGCTGAAATGTGTCTGCCATCAGTACAAGTCTGCCTTCCAGGAAAAAACAGCCAAACTATTGATAGCCTTTCGAGGAGGAAAGCAAGACGATGCTGCATTGATGGACCTTCTGAAAATGAATGAAAACTCCCCTTTCTATGTCAAGATGATATCAAAATGGCTGGACCACAAAGAACGAGAAACCTCCTTGGTGAGGTCTTTCCTTTCGAAATTTAAGGGCATCAAAGTGTTATCCTCCATGAAACAGCTGGATGATGCTGTACTAGATCCCGATGTAGACAGCGTCGTTTGCTTTACATTTACCCACTTACATCAGCCTGAACCCTACCTGTCAGATCTGCATGAATATCTGAGCTCTGATGCACACAAAAATGGTCCATCGACGACCGAGGACCTTCATAGGTACAAGCCAAGAGAGCCCAAGCAATGGATATGTTCAAATTCCATGCAACAGATGAGAGTCCTGGCCAGGTATTTCTTGGAGTTAGCAAGCATCAACGCAAACAGCAAAACAACAAGATTCTTTGTAGCTTCTAAGTACATCAAGGACATGCCTGCAGCAGCTATCCTTCTCTATGAAGATGGACTATTGGAAAGCACATATCTGGATCCACTACCAACACCAGATGCTCCAGAAATTGGTGAGATCACCCACAGCACTGTAATCTTAAAAGCAAGAACTCCAGAAAATAGCCAAATAGTTAATATTGGGATTGAGTTCAGGGCTAACAGTAGTGACTGCTGGACACAGCCTCAATTTCCTGAAGGAGATGGAGAGGTGATTATATCAGACTTACTTCCCTACTATGAATATCAGTTTAGAAGCATCATAGAAGGCAAACTAGGATATGTTGTAAGGAGCCAAACTATTATCAATGCCACGACACTTCCCACAAGCCCACCTTCAAGTCTTAAGGTATTGAAGTTAACAACAACTACCATAACCCTATCTTGGGAAAACCCATCGGTTATTGGAGAAGGTGTAAACCTTAGAGGATATAAAATTGAATACAAATTGGAACAAAAAGGCAATAACAGAGATAATCCAGAGGAGTGGACTGAAAAGCTCACAGGGAAAGAAGAATACCAGTACACGTTGAAGGGACTGAATCCAAACACAACCTACCTTCTTCGTGTTTCCTGTGATTGTGGAGATTATGCTAAGAGTGCTGCAAGTGATACTGTCTCCGTCACCACCTTAATTAAGAAAATAGCACAGGACATCATTGAGAAAAATCCTCAAAACATAATCCACAATGGGACACCTTGCATTTATAAACTTACCTTAAAGAAGGAAGTAATTGATCAGTATGGGTTTTGTCGAAGATTTACATTTGGACGTCGGAGTGCACATCCTAAAAATAAAACCATCATGGTCCTTGGGGCCACAGGTTCAGGAAAGACCACCCTCATAAATGGGATGATCAACTACATACTGGGTGTAGACTGGGAAGATCATTTCAGATTCAAGCTGATTCTTGAGGAGAGCCAAAGAACGCAAGCCGAAAGCCAAACCTCAGAAATAACTGCATATGAAATCCATTACCAGAGGGGCTTCAGTGTTCCCTACTCTCTCACCATTGTGGACACCCCAGGATTTGGCGACACCAGGGGTATTGAGCAAGACAGGCAGCTCATTGAGAGGATCCGGGATTTCTTCTGTAACCCAAACGGCGCTACCCACATCGACGTCGTGTGCTTTGTAGTGCAGGCAGCTCTGGCGCGCCTCACCGCTGTCCAGAAATACGTCTTTGACTCCATCCTTTCCATTTTTGGAAAAGATATCCATGAGAACATTCAGCTGTTGGTCACCTTTGCTGATGCTCAGACCCCTCCGGTTTTAGAAGCCATCAATGCCTCTGAAGTGCCTTGTGCCAAAAGTAGCAGTGGGATGCCTGTGCATTTTAAATTCAATAACTCTGCCTTATTTGCATGCAACAAGGGAATGAATGAGACTGATGACCAGTCTGCTGAGAACTTTGATAAGATGTTTTGGAAAATGGGCATCAACAGCATGAAGATGTTCTTTGAGGACCTGGAAAGAATGGAAACAAGGAGTTTGCAGTTGACGAAGGAGGTACTTGAAGAAAGAAAACAGCTAGAGGTAACTGTAGAAGGCCTTCAGCCAATGATTAAAGCTGGATTGCATAAGCTGGAAGAAATCCGGCAAACACAACAGGCTCTTCAGCAGCACCAAAATTGCATTGATGCAAACAAGGACTTTGAGTACGAAGTGGAGGTGACGGTCCCATTTAAACAAGATATTTCTGGCAGCTTCATCACCAATTGCAATCGTTGTCACTTCACTTGCCATTTCCCTTGTATGATTGCAGATGATGCAAAAAAGTCTTCATGCTCTGCCATGGACAAAACTACAGGAACTTGTAAAGTTTGCCCTGGGAAATGTGAGTGGCAAGTCCACTTTAACCAGAAATATCAGTGGGAATACAAAACAAAGAGAGAAAAAAGAATGTACAGTACCCTTAAGAAAGAATATGAGAAAGCTGTAGGAGAAAAAATGAACGCTGAAAAGATACATGAAAAACTGGAAGAGGAACTTCAAGCTGTGGACTTACAAATCCTGGACCTTATTAAAACATTGAACCAAGGATTGGCACGACTCAGTGAAATTGCTCTTCGTCCAAATCCACTTGCCACTCCAGACTACATCGACCTCTTGATAGCTGCTGAAAGAGAAGAAGCTAAAGCAGGGTTCAAGGAACGTATCAAGTCACTGATGACAGTGAGGGAGAGCGCAGTCCTTCTCCACAAAGTCTCCACTGGCCAGGATGTGCGTCCAGAAGAAATGAGGGCCTATGAGAAAGGCAAAGCCAGAAAAAATGTTAAGGGGATTTTCACCAATGTAAAATCATGGTTGAAGTTTATGAAGTGAGACAATGTCATCATTCTTTATTTTTTATATTATAAACCTTTATATTCTAGCCGAACACTTCATTTTATTTTAATAATATTAAATATTATTATAATATTTAATAATATTAATATTATTATAATATAATAATATTGGACAGTTCTAAATATAGCAAACAGCTGTGTAACTGTTGTGGTTCTTTAAGAGTAGAGTGTACGAAGACTGGACATGAGGAATACTGTTTTATTGAGGTGGTAGAATTACTTCTTATTTTGGTGGCTCCAGTTAATGGGATCTTGTCTGAAACGTTTCTTATTCTTTTTTATGTTCCTTATTCATTTATTTTTTAAGACAGTTTGATAACTCAAACCCAGTCATACTGTACACTTAATTTCTTTAAGTTTACAAAGCACAGTGGCAATACATTTTAATAAAATAATTTTAACATTGGCTTTCTGATTTTTAAGTTGAGTAATTATACTAGTAAAATTGACAGCATATAACAGTTTTACAAAAATCCAGCTGCTATCCTGTATTTTTTTAATGTTTTTTGTAGAGGGTGCTGTAGAAATTTCTCACACACTTCTGTTACTGTATATCTATATTTTACATTTGCTATGAATTCGGTAAGAGTTGCATTTTTTGTTTATATTCCTATTCTTTTGAACTCTCACTTTATTCTTTTCATGATGCTGGGTATTGTAGGTATTAAAAGTCCCAAAAATCTCTTGAGTTTCTTCATCTTTTTAAAAATTCAGCAGGACGTGTTTTTTTTCCTCCTATAAAAATCTTGATTGTACAATGATAAAGCACCTTTTTTCAATAAAGTTTTCATTTAAGAAACGACTGTTTCTGCCTGTTACATGGTAAATGTATTCTAAGGGGTAAGTACACCAATACAGACCTGATTTTAATCTGAGTTACATTGCACTATAAAAACGTTATTCAGAATTATTCACTCCTGGATTAGTGGACACCTCCTTGGACTTTCCTCGTTGCTGCCAAATTCAAATACTCTAACTTTCCCGATACAAGTATTCAACATTTTCAAAGGCATTCCCGGTTCATCCCCGTGTACTTCTTCAGAAGCAACAGTGAAAAACAATGCAAGGGGAAACTATGTGGGAGGGATTTTAAAGCTGGGACCTGGCGGCACTTTCTTTACCCAAAGATTTGTAGGAAAATATGAAACAAGCTACTCAGACTTGCTGGTAAAATCTGTTCATGTTGTGACACTGTGTAGTGGGAGGCGCCACGGTGAGCACCCGTAAAAAGTCAACCCCCCCCAGAGAACTTGTGGCAACCCCCCGGAGGTACCGGTGTGAGCTTAACAGGGAGCACAAATAACACAAAAAGAGTGAAAAATGACACAAAAAGGCCAAAAGAAAGGACTACCGCCGTGCCTTGTGATGTCCAGACTGGGCTTACCCCATTTAGCGGGGCACAGTCTGGTGAACAGGCAGCGTAAGGAAAAACAAAAAAAGAACTTGGTGCGTAAAAAAAGTGTGTGTATGCTCAGGTGAAAGTGCGTGATGATGGGACAGGCAAAAAAAAAAAACCTTACGCGGGTGCAAACCTCTCCGGGACTGTCGGTGTAAACTCCCCCCCCCCCCCTTCTGGGAGAGGCCCTTCTCGTCCCGTTGGGGGGTGTCTAGTGTGTCTTTATACGACTTCAGAAGCCAGGACAGCTGGAACTACAAAGACTACACACTGAACCAAGCATTACAGGTATTTCAATCCTGCACGTTGAATAACTATAAGCTAGTGACATTCTAGCTATGAATTTGCTTCATCACTCTGCTCTCCTCCCCACTGATAGCTGATGTGTGGTGAGTGTTCTGGTTCACTATGGCTGCCGTCGCATCATCCAGGTGGGGCTGCACGCTGGTGGTGGTGGAGGGGAGTCCCCATTACCTGTAAAGTGCTTTGAGTGGAGTGTCGAGAAAAGCGCTATATAAGTGTAAACAATTATTCATTATTCTTCTTCAAGCAGTCCACATACTGTACACCAAATGAGTCACAGTCCCCTTTAAATATGGTTTATTAATAACATATACAATCTTTCAATGCACAGCAGAAAAAGCTTCCAGTTAAAAATGTACTCAAGAGTCATTTCTCAGGTCCCAAGTTAGATTGTTCCAGTGCATACTGTCTTAAGTCACTCCCACATGATTCATACAAAACTAGGTATTTCATTAAATATAGATATTTCACAAACACAGCTAAATAATCGCTCCCTAGCAATTTCATTTATTTTTTTGGCCTCCTTGCTTTTACCTGGTGCAAATAATTGGAAATTTCTTGGTGCACAGGAACGTTAAAAAAAGACATGTTTCTTTATAGTCTGTAAAATGTTTATGTTCTCTCACAGGTGTTCACATTGCCCCCTATTTCTTCATTTTAGTCAAATATTATTGGAACTCTATTGCACCAATGGAATACCTTCTCTTCCACTAACCAAGTAACCAAGTCAAAATTTTCACACGATATCAAAATATGTCCAAAATACTCTAGATTTTATATAGAAATAGAATTTACCTTTCAAATGCACCCGCACTTTTAATTTAAAATACTTTATGTGATTACTGATGTATGGCCTATTTTATGAGCTACCAAAACTTGTGTCTGCCTCATGTATTATTTTCACCCTAAAGTGACTAATCTTGAATGTTAAGTTTCCAGTGTGAAAACAGTGATTTGGATTAAAAATACTCTGTAATTTCCAAACAGGACATGTATGTGGAATAGCATACTTGTGGATCTGAACCTAAAAAGGAAACTTTAACAAATTGCATTTCAAGTGCAAATCTGAGGTGAATAATAATATAGGAAAGCTCACGAGCTAATGTTTGCATAATGCAAGTTTGCAATTTATACTCAAAAAGATACTAGTGAAATTGTTTATTCTTCTTAAATCTAGAATTCTATTCTACAGTATGAACTAAATTTTTACCATCAGGTATTACTTGAATCATACTCATAACACAGCTACAGTTTTACCTAACAGAAAACACCTAATTTATTCAAGAAAATCTGTCAATTTTCAGCTATTGGTAGAGGTGAAGTAATGCAATCTGAAGACAAACTCTCATAACTCATAAATTTAACATATTGTCCCACACATTATGTCTATTTTGATTCTGTACTAACTGCAGTATCTACAGTACGTTCAGTATATTAGGAAATGCCTTTAAGCGTCACTAATTGGAAGTGTAATACAGCTGAATACAGTCCTTCCTATTTAAACACATCATGCTGTCCGGTATTTAGTTGGAGACAAATTTGGGATCTTTTGCCACCCTAAATAATTGCTTCAGTAATTTATCTATATACAGTATGTGCAAAGAAGGTGTGAAGGTTCATCACACTTGACCACGTTTTGACACATAATTTCTCTATGGGGTTTCAGGCATTGCACAGCAAATTCCTTTATTCACTGACACAAAGACAATCAATAACTAGTAATTAAGAATAACCTGGAAATGAACTAAACTAATGATATTAATTACTCATTTAAGTTTTAAAATAAAATCTTAGACTTTATACATCCAGCAATCTTGAGTGTTACTAACATTTATTTGCCATCTTTCAGATGTTTAGTTATTAAATCATCAGAGGATTATTAACTACATATATTATGGTAGCAGTCAAATGTTATACTGCTCAGTCAAGTCTCAAAACCATCTTTAAAAACAAAAACTCAAATATCTGAATTTCAATCTCACTTAAGCATCAGAAAGGGAATATAGGACAATGATTTGCCTTAAATCAACAAAAAGCAGCTTTGCCCTACATGTTATTTTAATCTCAGTGCAAAATATTCCAGTTCCTTCATTAATTATTTTAAGAGCAAAATGGATAATCTGATAATATTTTTGTCATGATTTAACATGTAAAATTAAGGAAATTTGTTAACTGGAATAAACAGAAACTTCTGCAACTAACGGGTAAGATTTGGTCTAAAAAGAGTGGTCTTTCCATATAGGTATTAAGCAGACTCAGTTTAGACAAGAAGTGGAAGGAATAATGGAGTAATTTAAAAAACAAAAGCTATGTATCTGGAAACTGCTAGAGAGTGATTGTTTTTATATAGAGGCACCTAGAGATTTAGCACATTTTTAACAGATTTGTATTTACAAAACAATCATTTGTAGTGCAAAACAAGACAAAAACTACAATAAACTGCAATGAACAAAGAAAAAAACCAAAAGCAGTAAAGTCACAGGTATGTCCAGAATCTTCTCCATCTCCTGACATAAAGCAGAAGTTCTCTTGCACTGGTAGTCTATGAAAAGTCAGGAGGTTTTATCATAATTACTGGTTCACAGTTAAAGACTAAATGACACCTGATATTCCAAACTTGTAAGCTATGAATTTGGGTAGACAAAGGCGACTGTGTTGCACTCCCATAGGCTGATCTGATCTAAAATACCAGAGATGGATGGTACGTCAGAATGGATTTTGACAGCAGACATCAGCCTCACTACAAGAAATGCAAACCTAGAAGCCAAATAACTGAACCGATACAAACTGCAGATTTGAACAATATGTAAATGAAAAATGGTAAACACCAGCGCTCAGCAGCAGGGACTTCTGGATGTTATTTTATCCATTTGGGTTGACATTAAACCCCTTAAATCGATTAACTGGAAAACAGATAATTGGTTCAAGTCTTAAGTAGCTGATACTGGGAACACCTAGAATAGTGGTTTTCCTCAAGAGCTATAGATGCAGAAGAGTCACAACATTATCACGTAAATATTCAGAATACCTTACAATTTCAAATTTGATTATTCCAAAAATATTCTGAATAATGATTTTACAAGTACGTGGAATCAAAATAACTCAACATTATATGTAGACCACATTTACCCTTAATACTGTACCAACCTCAATACTGTACAGTAGAAATTAGCTATCCCCACATAAAAGTACAAGCAACATTTAAAGACAAGATTATTTTATAATACTGTGGGAGATATTTATATACTAAATATACTGATGCTAATCAAGAAATAGCTAAATATATAGTGTCTTAGACTACAAGTAAGCCTTTTAAATTAACTCCTTGCTTGCTGATTAAAGCAAGTTTTTACTTGTAGCCCATTGTAGCTTTTTAGGAGTCAGATTGTGTTCAGTTTTTCAATGTATATGTCCAATTTAATATCTGCATATAAAGTATAGACGTAGAGTTATTTTTGTTACATAGACTAGTAATTTTTGTTGTTATTCTTATATTCAATATTTTGTATTCAGAATACTCATATTTGAAATAGTATTGATTATACTCCAAATAAGCTTTACAAATGTTCTTTGCAAGCTCTCTTGGAGTACACCACAAGGACAAAAATGTCAATCTACATTTAATTGTACTGCATATTTTTGTAGCTGCTAAAAAATACTACATTTCCCCAGTTAAATAATGCACTCAATTTAGCAAAGAGTACAAGTGGAATTAAACTTCAAACATCATGGCAAACACAAAACCTATTTGATATGTTGTAATACTGCACAGATTGTCCGAAGGATTTCATAATATTTGATTGTTCAATTAAGAAAGTATTGTCACCATAGCTCACACTTCATTGAATATACTTACAAACAGTCACAGACAAAAGTATCGGCCCTTCATTTAAAACTATTTTCTCCAATTTACTACATTAAACATTACATTATATTTGTGTTTTACCTTGGTAAGCAGCAGTAAATATTCTAGGTAAATATTGGCCCAGACATATGTCACTGACCATATATTCAACTCTGTAAATATCTATATCTTTACTAATACTTTACAGAAATTAATCAGTGTTTCATAAACTCTGAAGTATCTGAATAAACTATTAAATGGCTGAGGGAATACAATTGTTTCAAATTAATGGTGCCAATACTTCAGTCCACAAATATGCATACACACATAATCCATTTTGTAAGAAAAACAGACCACCACATTTGATAGAAACACCACAATGTAAGGGATGATCTCCAACCTCTTCACAGCTTACTTCAAGAATGTCGTACGCAATCATTTGTTTAAGTAACACGCACACACAAAAGCTGGCGCTTCTGAAATGTCTTTTAAGGAAAATCTCATCAATATATTCTGCAGGAGATTACAAATACATACAAAATGAACAAAAAGGCACAGAAACAAGTACAAGGAGGGGTAGGGCTTGTACAGCGTTTTGATTTTAATTCAGCAATTGACAGATCACTGAGAATGATCTGCCTTTTTCCACCAGCAATGATATGGAGGTTGTGCAACAGCAGCTGAACTGGTGGGACACAGCCACAATTCAACAGTAGCTAGGTCCTGTCCCATTATGTAACCTGAGCTGTTACATTCCTGACTCCGCCCTCTCGCGTGTTTACTCCCATAGCCTGGCTCACAGTTTCTCCCCTTTCTGGTAAAGCCACACCCACATAATCCTTACTTTGCTTGACTCCGCCTTTATTTGCATATCTGCCTGCGTCTTTATTTTCGAATGCTCCATTTTTAGATACTGATCTGTCCTTTTCAAGTACTGTCCCACCTTCTTGCAAGTTTTCCACTTTGTGGAGGTCCATGGATTTGAACACCAGAGAGGGAACAGTCACATTGTGGGTACCTTTTGAACTTGTGTCAAGGGGCTTCTTCTGTGGTTTTCGAGGGTCCTCCCCAATGTTGACTGACAAGTTAGTGTACAGTGGTTCCAGCTTCTTGGACAAGAGTTCATAGGTCAGGGAGTTCACACCATCTGAATTCCAGTTCCTTCTAGTGCGCATCAGCAAGTCAAACCTTAGACCACAAGACAGACAATTTGAAGAAATGTGACTGTGGATTACAAAATGGTGAAATTCATATGATTTAAACTGGTTTCAGGAACAAAGAATAGAACTGGAAGGAGTGGAAATTAGCAATTTGTAAGATTGGAAGATATCAAAATGTCTATCTTCAGTTACCTGACCTGACACCACAGAAGTTTTACTGTAAACTTAAACCATTAAGGTGTTGGATTTAATAAGAAGTCAATCTGCCAGGAACACAGAATGACTCATTTACAATACAAATATTTGATCAAAAAGGCAAAGCTGGCATTACTGAGGTTTAGGAAAAACAATTTCCAAGCTTCAGTTCAACACATCAGCATATATACTATGAGGTATGAAAAATGATAAATTTCTTATGTCTCCCTGTGTATGTTTCAATCCATAGAAATGGGATACATGCAGGTCTGTCTGTAAAGTTATCTTTAATATGGAAAAAAAAGAAAAAATGTACTCTTTTAACAGAAATAGGAAATAACAGACACTCTGCATTAGATTTGTTGGATTGGGATTAGTTTTAAGGTCAGACTGGTTTCAATAACAGTTTAAAAATGACATTCGTACTGTACCTGCGGGGGTTTTCCTCATTCCCTTTGTCACCTCTGTGCTTTATCATCTTATAATGTCCCACTGATACTGAGGGCCTTATGATCTTCATTCCAGACAATCGCACTCTACAGAGTACAGATGGACAGCATCTTAAATAACAGAACTCTTTAGCAAGAAATATAGAAGATCATAAGCTCAACACATTAGCCCCTTTATTTTAACCTGCAGTTCATAGCTAACAGGAAGGAGTCATGTGCATACTATATTACCTTATATAATATGACAAAAGGAGAAATTGGAGCATTTTGGTTGGAAATCAATGTGTCTTTCTTGACAGAAACATTAAATTGCTCATTAACCAAATATATGGTGCTTGTATTTTATCTTAGGGGACCATGAGAAACTGTTAACATACAGTACCTACTGTAGGTGCTTAAGAACTGTGAAAAGGGAAAAATAAATGGATCTTAAAAAGTATTCTGGAATTTGATAATTCCAAAGATTTATATGTCAAATCTTTGGATGGTTTTTACATTTAAATGAGCAGAAAATTGTATGCCGATTACAACAGTTTATCAGAAAGAACAGAGTCTCTTGAATACCCCTGTGCTAGAAGAAAAAGTCAAGTCTAGACTGTCTACAGGTATTGGTTGACACAGAACATGGCAAGAACCCTGTACCTCATTAAGGCTTCTAACACCAACAAAAGGAAGTAAAAAACTGTCTAATAGTCCAGTTAGATGGCCTACCTGCTCTTCACAAACTGACTTCCCGGAAGCTAGGAATATGTTTTAAGAGAAGGGGGAGGAAATGATAACAAAACGGGAAAAGAAATGAGAAAAGAAGGTGGAATTCCAATGGAAAGATAGCAAAGACACATGTAATGGAAAGACCAAAATACAACTTGGAGAGTATCCTGTTCTTTTGAGGTGCTTGTTCTTTTACTATTTGCACTGATACAGGTATACTGTATGTCATTTATTCAGAAATCAATTCTTCTGAATGTAGATAAGGGTTTTCTTTACTTCTTAGAAGGCAATATGGGTAGTAATTTTAGAATGTTGAGAATTAACAGACACTATGACCCATATCTTTGGAAGTATAGTTCATTTGTGATTTTTTACTTACAGACGTAAGCCTAAAAAAGTTTGAAGTAATATGGAAATTACAGATGGCAACTGTAATCAGATTTGGTGTTTACTTTAAAAACACAGAAATTATGGTCTGAAAAAAATAACTATTCACCTACACTTTGAATAACCCTGATACTGACTGGGGACAGAAGCGTGCAAAATACCACTTTGCACAAATGCACCTTATGGAAACCGGAAGGAAAAAAAAAAAAAACTCCCCTTAGCATACTGAGAAGTTGTAGAAGTTAATTAAAATACAGACCCCGAGACTTGATTGTTCATTAATTTATACTTGAACCAGCTCATCCAGGACGCATTAGCTGATAAGGCATGAGCCAGATATAACAATCACAAGGAAAATGGATAAAACAACTTCCCAAAAGATTTTAAAAAACAAAGCAAATGCTCCTACTAACGTCATATTAAACAATTGATGTTTCAGTAGCTCTAAAAGAATACCTACAAATCCATTCTTATGTGAATTCAATTATTATTGGCTGCATTCACATGTGCAGTGACTTAGGCATCCATGGTGGTACCAGAGCAGATGGTATGAGGTTACTGTTAATTATTTGCCCCCGACAATGAGAATGCTACATTTGCTTTTCCTGCTGTAATAAATTAATACATGGTCTCCAATCCTGGTCCATGTGAGGCAGTGTGCCTGTAGGTTTTCCGGGTCTTTTATAGCACCAGCACCTGAAAAGCTGTGAGAAGCTGTTAAACGTAAGCTTAAATTGAGCCAACAGTGAGATGATTCAGATTAATAAGACCGCAAGACCAAGAACCTGCAAACATAATAACTTTGCAGGACCGGGATTGGAGAACAAAGACTTAAAGATCAGACATGAAAGCAAGTGAAAATGGATGGAAAAAGTCAAAAAACAGTTGCTTAATAAATATTACCAGGGGTGAGATCTGCAAATGAAGGGCTACAGGCAGTAGTATGATGCAGTGTTTTGGGGGACTTGTACTGTAAATCTTCATTCTCTCTCCATCTCACCTGGCAGCAATATCGTCATCCTCCCCACCCCAGCCCCAGTACTGGTTGGGAAACCCATTCATCTTCAAGTACTGGTCCGGTGTTACAGCTGATACCCCCCCAAAATACTGAGGATAGGGCAACCTTGTGGGAACAGAATGCCCAAAAATGAAAAATGAAAAATTAACTATTCAGACATTCGCTGACAAAAAAGACCCAAATATCAAGCCACCCTCAGATCTCTGTAACTGCACAAACGGGTACCTGTATCTGAACTTATCCATGGCCACTGACACATGCTTGGGTGACTTGCGGTCACAAACATAGAGGTTGTGGTCATTTTCAGGGAGTAGGTCCACATCATGAAGAAACAGACATTGCCACTCCTCATCCCTCAGTGCCTCCTTTACACCCACATTCAACAGCTTTGCCCGGTTGAAGGTGGCATTTCCTGCCTGTGAGAGATCTTTATTAAGTACAAGAATTGGCACAGTACATTTGAAAGATTAAAGCAGAGACACTGGCCTTCTGTGAACAGGGTTTTTCTCTTATACTCAGGTTTAGCCATTTCATAGGTTTTGCTTGTCACACAGTGATGAAATTTACAGTCCACGCCTGAAGCTGGTGTTTGGTTTAAAGTGCTAAAGATCAGCCCTAGAACAACTCAATCCTGGTATATAATACATCCCTCCAGGCACTAACTCAACCAGTAATAAAATTACTGATTACGAATACTGATTATGTTTCCATGCTTTATATAGTAGACACCTGAAAGAAAATAATATATTTGAAATCCCACACAAAGCAGAAGACTGTGTACTCCTCATAGAGTTAAAAGTAGAGAAATCTATGCACGTTATTAAAAAATTAGTGTAACAAAGTCATGTGGAGCACAGGCTTTCTAACTCTTCTGGCTCTGAGACTCCTTTTTAACAAGCTACTTTTAGTAGTAACCCCCCCGTATGAAGTGAAGAAACAAAAGCTAGGAAATAATCAGAGTAGTGCAATACAAATGGCAGCACTGCAGAACAATAGATTTAGTGCACAGCTGCTGATAAGAGAATATAGGGAGCAATTTACAGGGTTTTCTGAGACCCCCACCTTTCCAGTGGTAATAGATGAACTATGATGTCCTGCAACAGGGTGAGCGCCAAGGTGGACTGACCTGGTGTACGATGTAGATGCCGTAGTGCAGCTGTTGTCTCTGCAGGAAGGGGTGGATGTGGTACAGCAGAGCCCGCAGGTGGGCTTGTCTGTTGCGGTAGGGGATGATGACAGCGGTGTGGTGCCGAGGTTCGCAATCTGGAGGAAGGTAGCGGCCGCCTGGCAAAACCAGGGGGTTGCGCTCCTGTATCTGGGCAAGAGACAGCGATGACGACAGGACGACAGCAACTGGACCCACTGGTGCACACATACAAAGACATGGATAAGGAACAAGGTCAAGTGTGCATTACTAGTAAAGGGGAAAGCATTAAAACCTTTATGATTTTGTCTGTAGTATGAAGTATTATTAAATAAAACACAGAAATCCTTAAGATCAAGCTTCAAGCGATGAGACCATTGCTATGTACAATTGACAGTGAAGTTATTATGAGCATCGCTACCAATAAGTCTTCAAGATATCTGACAGACAGACTGACCCAGTAGAGGAGAGGTTTCTGGGCAGTCCTTCAGGTGACCCCTGCCTGTTGCCACAGCGATTCCAGCGGTCTCTGCAGGATTTGGTGGAGGCACCAGCTGACTAAGATTGGTGTAGACGTCATGGGGTTTGGAGTAGTCAAACTCAGGGTCCGAAGAGCGAACCAGCACTGACACCAGGCCCTTGAACCCCCCCAGAGAGAAATAGACCACGAAGGCAAACTGAAAACCTACAAGTATGGCCAGAGTACAAGGAGAGTCCAGAGAGCGTCCCATGCAAAGCATCTTACTTAGAATGGGACAGAGAGACTGGGTAAATGAGAGAAGTTAAGGGGTGACAATTAGGTAGAGAATGAGAGAGCAGGGAAGGGAGAAAGATAAAAGGGAGGATGGAGAATTTTATTTAGGCAAAGAATAAGGGAGAAAGGGAGAAGGCCTGACACATGGGTAGCAGGAACACAATAAATTATTGTTTGTATAACACAAGAAATTGTAAGAGAAGTGAGAGGTTTTCAAGGTTTAGAAAATTAGCAGTTTTTGAAAGCGAGAGTCGCAAGGAAACTGGGAGGGTGAAAAAAAGTGTATGGATTGGGTATGAAGAGAGAGATGAGGCTTGTAAAAAAACAAGAAAAAGAGGAAACAAAACAGGAAAGCTGAAGTGAAAGGACTAGGGTTCAGCAAAAGAGAGAGAAAGGAGAAAGGTAATAAATTTAGTTTGAAGGTACAGTGTGAGAGGTGAAGTAAAATTGGGAAACCAAAAAGCAGAGAAAGTGTGAAGATCGCAAAAGGTTGGAAAAGAGAGTTTATAATGAATAAGGGGGATCAGGGAAAAATGTGAGGCAGAGGGATGGTGAAAGTAGAGGAGAAGCAGGGTGTAGCAACAGGAAAGCAGACTGATGTCTTCAATCCAATGGCAGAGGCATTTCCAGACGATAAACAAAGCCAGGTAATTGGAGAAATGTAGTCTGTTCCATGCAGATGTGCCTCACTAATAAGAGGTTTCAGATCTGAAGCTGGGGAAAGACAGAAAATATAAATGAAGTTAATTATTACATCAATTTAAGTTTTACTTTTGAAATTTTTGATATTGAGAGAATGAAAAACTAACGTGACTATCTTTTGAATAGAATATCTGAAAAAGTTTCCTGTCTTTGGGAATTTTACATACTTAGAAAATGTTCATTAGTTAAATTATAAGATGTGGGATAATTCTAGAGCTCCCAAATATTAAGATTGTTTGAAGCTTTAAAGAAATGTACGACTGTTACTAAAGTGCATTGCTGAGTGCACATTTACCTGTTTTCTTGCCGTAAAGGCCATTTTTGTTTTCTTTTGAGCAATTACTGACTGTATCTCTATGTAAAATTATTTTCAAATATTTATTTTGGAGAAGTTTTTTACGATAATGTGACTCTACCATATGTATGACAGTTGCCATAAGTGTCAGACATGCTTTACGTTCAGTTTTATTTTAGATTGACAAACGGCAGCAACAAAAGTGTTGAGAGGGGCTCTGTGAACTTTGTTCGCACATTTCCTGCAGAAGATGCAATATTTATGGCCAGCAGCCATATCACCCTGCAACTCACAACTGGCAACCCACTGCAGCTAAGCAGGTGTGAGCCTGGTCAGTACCTGGATGGGAGACCTCCTGGGAAAAACTAAGGTTGCTGCTGGAAGAGGTGTTAGTGTGGCCAGCAGGGGGCGCTCACCCCTGGGTCTTAATGCCCCAGTATAGTGGGTCTATACTGGGTCTTAATGCCCCAGTATAGTAATTGGGACACTATACTTTAAACAGGCACCATCCTTTGGATGAGACGTAAAACAGAGGTCCTGACTCTCTGTGGTCATTAAAAATCCCAGGGCGCTTCTCGAAAAGAGTAGGGGTGTTACCCCAGTGTCCTGGCCAGATTTCCCCTTGACCCTTACCAATCATGGCCTTCTAATTATATCCATCTATGAATTGGCTTCATTGCTCTGTTCTCCTCCCCAGTGATAGCTGGTGTGTGGTGTGCCATCGCATCATCCAGGTGGGCTCACATTGGTGGTGGTGTAGGGGAGTCCCCATTATCTTTGATAATGAGTGGAGTGTTCAGAAAAGCGCTATATAAGTGTAATTATTATTGTTATTAATTGAATAAGGTGGACATTCAGAACTGGTGTGAAATGGATTGGAGGAATGCTAGACACAAGGGCTACTATGTAATTCTATACCGTTACATAGGAATGCGTGCTACGAACCTAAGTAACCAATTGCATTAAAATACGTTATCTTTTGCAAATAGGGAGGTAGAAAGATGTGTGTGATTTTGCAACACTGTCAGTCTTGTAAGCACAGGGAAGCATGACAGATAAAAGAAAAATATTTAAGGACTGTTCTAGTTAAATTACCTTGAGAAAAATACACACAGCATCTTTGTGTGTTTCGCTCCCATCCGCATTAAATAAAAACCTCTTTTAACTTTTGAGACAGACTCCTGACTGTCTTTTAAGGGGAAGCAGGGAAACATTTCTCCAACAAAAGCATCATGTAATAAATTTGAAAAATATAATCTGAATTACAGAACATTCCACTGTATAAGACGGGGTTTAGTTCAATGCTCAGCAACATTTCCAAAATCCTTTATCCAAAAATAAGCATTTTTACACAGCACACATGCAGTATACGCAAGTGTTTGAACATTTAAAAATGTTATTAATGTTATTAACTGATGTAATTCTCTCTTTACCCTTGACACCACATATAGCAGCTCACTGGTATTTTTACCTGTGAGAAGCAGACATCCCTTGCAGTCAGGGCATATTAATGTCAAAGACTCTTGTTCAACAGGCCCTCGTTCATCTTGGACTCTCGCACTGGGCCCATCTTTATTTCTAAGAATAAATGACGTAAGGAGATGTAAAGAAGCAATTTCTACTTCTTCTGATGTTGTATGTGAACAAAACAAAATGTATAAATACTGGATTTGATCTTATAACAGTAATGACAAGATCTAAAATACACATTGTATTCACTCAGCTTTCCCATCGTTCTCTTCCTGCTTCAGTCGCAAAATGTACACTGAAAAAAAAGACGTAACTGGCTTTTTATGCAACTACAAAAAAAGATACTGCAGAATTTGTTTTTAAGCAAATTGAAAGAGGGTTTCTCACTCCTCCACCTAGCACAGAATGGGGCCACACGTCACCCAGGTGGATGCTGCACTTCAGTGGTGATTAAAAGTTAGTCTCTTCTTATTTGTAAAGTGCTCTAGTATCCTTAAGGGTGATATTGCTATATACTATATACATTCGGCTACATACATTGCCTTGCAAAAGTATTAAGGGTCCTTTCAAATTCTGAAAATAGTTTTCAAATTCTACTGCTTTAAAGCTTCCAGTCTTTACTCTTAGAATTGCCTATTAAAGCTACACAGTATATACACCTTTCTCACACCTGAAGAAGGCTCCACGGCCAAAACGTTGTGTTTTCTCTCTTCTTTTTTTCAGCATGGAATAAACCTATTCCTTGTTCCTTTGCAGCCTACGCATGCTGACACAGCTACCCACCTGAACTACTACAACCTACTATACTCATTCAAAGCAAAATACTATAATAAGTAAATAGATCATATGAAAGAAAAAAGGAAAAGTCATGATTGCATAATTATTCCCATCCTGTGCTGTTGCAAACCTAATTTAGATGCACAAAATGACCTTTGGAGATGCAAAGTTGGCCACAAAAAGCACATGTCCTTCCACCAAATACTGATTTCATGGGTCTGAATACTTACTGTATGGAATAAACATATTTCAATTTCATTGTTGCTTACATTTAGTGTAACTTTTCTTACCCTTAGAAGTCTTTAATCTAGGCATTCAGATTAAAAAAAACATTAAGTTTAAAAAAGTATATGCAGAATTTCGTCATTTCCCAAAATGCGACACCATATGAAGGTTTTGAATACTTTTGCAAGGCATGGTAAATGGAAGGAATTATTCATCATCAATACTAAATGATGCCACACAAACAATGCTAGTCAGTAATGAAAACATATAGAGATAAAAGTGGAGAAACAATGTGGGAGAAAAATAAAGAATAATGTTTTGGGGGTGATTAGCAGCAATAGGAATGGAAACTGTTTCAGTTAATAGGTTTCTGCTACTTTACATGGTAACTTTCACTTTGTTGCACTGTTATTCAGTTATAAGCAGAATAAAACTGCATTTAGGAACGACTGAACTGCCTGCCTTAATCGTTTTTTGTTTCCAGTTTTGACAGTTTAATTGTGCGATTATAAAAATAAAAATCGATTCATATACGGAGGTCTTAAGCGATTCTTTGTATATGGAAGGCTGCATTTTAGTGCCTTAAGAAACATAAGACAAGGCTAAAGGTTTAAAAACTTTGTGAGAAGCAGTGAGCCTCAAAGTACCTTACAGAATGTCTGGACCATTTTTGGTCATCTAAAAGAGAATTGGTATATGTAACACATTGAAGGGGATAACTGAAAACTTGGATTTAAAAGTCTTTGCACCTGTTTGCTTAATAACCACCAGGCTAGAAGGCATACATACTGTACAATGACGTGAATGAAATGAAAATGCAGGTCACCTGCAAATACAGTATATCTGAGTACTGCACCAAACTCAACATAGCTGTATTGCCAAACTATCCCGGTGCTGTACCTCTAAAATAAAACCACATACTGTATAGTAACGGACAGGCGTTTAAAGTGAACAATATACAGTACTAATTGCTACCTAAAATACAAGTGTCTGAACATAACTGTAACGTAAGTGTGTTATGGTCTAAAAAATGAAAAAAACTTTGTTTATACACAAAGTGTGGGCAATTCTGATACAAATGATTAAACTAGACTACCTTCTGTAATAGCGTTACATTACATTTTGAGATGATGGTACCCATTTGGATATTTATTTTTTATTTGTTTTGCAAGGACATAAGAACTCTATACTTGGCAAACATGAAATCTCATATCATTGCCTATGTAATGCATCACATTTTTCAAAGTATTACAACACTATTACGATGCTTCGCTCTCAAATTTGAAACGTCCACTCTCTCCCCCGAAATATAAAACGAAAACATGTCGTTAAAGTGAAAGTGAAACACTCCCCAGGTATTGCAGCAACTCACCCACGGTTTCCACGGAGCGACTTCCAACTCGAGACCCAGGCTTCGCAAACAAGATGCTAGGCCGTCAGGTTTAAATCACTTAGGGGAAAAACAGGATGCAGTCTGTATGCTTCCTCTCATTCGCGGTTTAAAATTCACATTGTCTGAACGGTTTGAAAACGCCAGTAATTCCTGAAAAAACCACCTCTGATTAGACCATTCCGACAGCCCGCTTCACCGAGATCCCGCTCCATAGGAGCGCCATTGTGAGGGGCACACCGTGAAAGTGACGTTGTGAGGGGCAAAACAAAAACCAACAACAACCTGGGTGCTCTTCTAAATAACTTCACATGCACACTGAAATGATGCGTACACCTACATGAATGAGTCGTATTGCTGGGACTAAAAACAAAATAAACGTGGAAGCGCAGTGGTTAATGGTCAAAAGACAAAAATAACGTTTAAATTTCTATTGGAACGAACCATTTCAGCGTCAGTTTGAATTATAAACTGGTAAACATGACATTGACAGATGGATGTGAAATTTAAAAACAATAAGCCATTATTTGTTTGTATGTGTGAATAGCACATTGCTCTTTATTTTTAATCTTCACATTTATGTTGCCTTTTCCCAAAATGAAACACAAGACAACATAAAGTAAGAATGGATGTCATTCAGGTTCAGAAACATGACAGTAAAATACTTTGAGCATTTTCTTTTCAAAGCTCAGTTTTTCATATAAATCAGTAAGTGTTCTTGAAACTTCCCTTCTTAATTGCATTTAAGACTGTTCAAGAGACCCCATCATTTTGACTATAAAAATCACATCCTG